CTCGGCCCTGGCTTCGGGCAGCCTTCGGATCCTTCGGATGGTGCCGGCAAGCGAGAGCAATTTAAAACAAATACTTTGATAAGTTGATTGCAATAAGTTATTCTTGAGAGAAACCACGGGATTCATATTGGGTCCCGGACATAGCTGATGCTATCTATGCTCTGACTTCCTCTCCAGCTCCCTATTTAAATAACTTCTAGACAGGATAAGATATTGTAATAACTTAATTAACTAATAACTTATTACAATAACTACTGAAGTTAATTAGGTTCGGACAAAACAACTTCGGACGATACAAGCCACCTCAGAAATCCTATTCCTAAAAAAAATAAAAAAAAATATTATAGTATTATCTAAAAACTACAAAAAAAGCTTGCAACATTCAAACTTGTTTTTCACCTTTGACCAGAAGATGATTCACTCCTGCCACTTTCAGTCTCATTCCTCAGATTGTTTCCATCATGATTCGCAATTTCAGAGTTAACAACAGGACTCTCACGATTCTCATGAAGATGATTCGCTTGAACAGAATTCCTACAAAGAAACAACACAATAATTTCATTTCACAGATCTTACTCATTAAGTAATTACAATTTTTCAATTAAGTCAATACCTGCGGAATTCATTTCTTGTTTGCCGGGAACGCCACACCATTCTCCCGCCTGAACGTCTCCTCATCCCTTCACCATTGTTATTAACGTGACTGCTTCTTCCATCACCATTTGATGTCCTGGTGCTGTTGAATTGCACATTGGTCCCACGTCCCCTCCCACCATGATGTCCTCTCATCGGTCTTCGAGAAAACCTGCGTCCCCTCCCTCGACCACGATAACCTAAAGCTGAAACAAACAGAACAAACACCATAAACACATTAACATTATGACATTTTCACTATGGAATACACTACTTTCCACCAAAATTTAATACCCCCCAAAAAAATATATCAACTTTCAAACAAATGCAATCTGATTCAACATAACCTTGCTATAAACAATCAATCTCTCCTTCTCACACCAATCTAACACACTTCAAATTAACTCCAAACATTACAATTCTCACCACAGGCCATCCCCACAGCTTTCACTAAAGAAAAGAGAGCGTAATCCTCCATTGACACGATATTAAACCAGACACAAATCAAATCGACAAACAAACAAATTTTCGTCGTCAGGCTGTTCAGTCCTTAGCAACTCCCCACATTCATGTTCAATATCTTACGTTCATTACAGATTCACATACAGATTTTCATACATTTTTCATAAGTTTTTTGGTTACATTCCTTTCTCATCACCACCACCTCATGTAACATTCACATTGAGATTGACGACATGAACCCCTCCATAGACAACAACCACAACAAGCAGACTACATAACAAGTCCATTTCTTTCACTTTCATATTGTTTCAAAAAATTTATTTCCTTTAATATATCCCTTCTTTAAAAGTGTGTTCTATTTTCGAATTTCTATCTGCTCTTAAACCTCCCACAGAAATATTCTCATACCTACAACATTCAACCAATAACAACTCGAAAGTAAGTTCCACATTCAGTTTTTTAAAATAACCAAGAGTACGATAACCTCCCTCACACTAGTCCTTCATTCTTTTGATCACGCTTCGCCAACTCTAAATGAACAATTTGAATGATCCCTTTCCTCTTTCCCTTCTACATACCACATTGTTCCATTCTTTAGGCTTCGTTATTCGGAAACAATGGTGCCTCAGGAACAGGCTCCAAAAGAATCTGTAACACAGAAAAAAAATTGCACTCCAAACACACACCAACTACTTCCACAACTTTGATTCACACATACAACAAGTGACTCTTCGCAGTTATGACATGTCAATTCATTCACTTCAGAAGCATTCAACTTCTTTCTCTTGTTCACGCTCCTTTGTGGGTAGTGGATTGAAACAGGACGGTAGCATGACAATAGTGATGTACCGATTTTTGAATAACAAGAATTACACAGCTGTAGAGATTTGACGGTTTAAAACAGAGCTAAACAAGTGTCAGTCAGTATTTTTATTTCTTGTCTTCTTCCCCTCTCTGGCTTGCTTCCCTCACTCTTGGCCAAGGTCCTACAATACTCCTCTTTCTGAACTCACCCACCAAGCAAGGTGTCACTGTTGCCCAGACTATAAATTGGATCGCGCCTCAGCGCCGGTCAACAGTCTGTAGCCTGGTCTCGGTCTGTGCGGACCTCTCAATAAACCTACTGAATCCCTACTCTTTCTCGTCACTTATCCGTCCTCATCACTATAAGTGCCCTACACTACACAGCTAAAACAAAATAAACAATATAGTTTTTAATTCCAAGCACAGACACATTCATATATGTTAAATTCTTCAACACTCACAGGCCAAATACCATTTGAAGGTATATGAGTTGCACAAATAAAAGTAACAACACACAATACTCTCTCCATTTCCTCTTTGAAACAGAAGCCACAGCTTTGTCATAATTTGCAAACTACTTTTGCATTATTAGTGATTACAATAAAAACACAAATTCATCAGAAACTTTTCTTTATTTCATCATTCACAAAAACACTCTCATATTCGAATACCTCTTTTTTTACATAACAAACCACCAATAATAAAAAAAAAAACAAATCACATTCTAATCGAAACATATTTGCAGTACATAAAATACTGTTTACGCAATAAACATCTCTTTCATACAGATAAATTTACCACATTCCAGTACCATTTTTTAAATTAAGACACTTCAAAAACCACTTGAACATTACATAACCCATTATGATGAAGGCTTAGGAACCCATGACAGATCATACGAGAAACTCCCACGATACTTTGCACTCGATTTGATCCCACGATATTCAAAATAGCCAAATTTCCCTTTTTCAAATTTTTCTTTCAACATCGCAACTTTTTTCTCATCATAATTTCTAATAAGGCCAGCTGGCATCCACATATAAAACTGCTCACCACTATTGAGCAGTTCCACACCACCAACAATTGCATACCGGTCTTCAATATACATTCCATACATATCAAACACTTTGTAAACACCTCCAATTGATAAGCTATCACATTTATAGATTTTCCGATTGGCAGTTTCATCAAGTTCCTACAAAAAACAAAAAACAATCAGTCATTAGTTTAATATCAAATGAATTTTTTTCACACAAAATAAAACACATAATCCTTACTTTGAACAAGTCATCGTCCGAATCATCATCAACATGTTTCTCATCAACAGCATTAACATCTCCTCCGTCACGATTCACCTACATACAATAGGAAGATATTAGTCCCAAACAAATTCAAAAACCAAACAATTTGCAAACAACTTTATACCTTGACAACATCTTGAACAGCAACTTCTACAGACTTGGAACAAATCATTTCACTATTTGCCGATTCACTTACAGCATTGCTTGTGCCAGCCTACAACAATTAAACAATTAATACTTTCATTCAATAGCAACTACACAAATTTTTAGAAAATCCTTTTTACCTTTTCCATTTCAGAGTCATCAGTACGTTGACGTTTCATGCCAACAGTCATTTCATCCATCGCCCGCTTGATACCACCAAACATTTTCCAATTACTTTCTGAATCAAACCACTTGACAAAGAACCAAGAAAACAGACACCAAATTGTCACACCACACAAAACAATTCAAATCACCCAGACAACCCAACCCACCAAACAACATAATGCCAACCTACTAAAAATTTTATTCCCAAACATTAAAAAAAAACTCAACCTCATAAAAAAAAGACAACAACTGTTCCAGATTTAAATTGGATACAAACGACATTTTTTATCCACTTCCATAAAACCAACAGGATCAATTATCAATGCACACATAGGCCAAGATAAAGACAAATTGGGAAACTTCCCCACAAACCCCTCAACATGATCAGCCATTAAACTACCTTCAACAGACAATTGATTAATGATACAGTTTGACCACAAAATTTTATCCATCGCAACACTCCGCACCCTCCTACTAACTCTCATCAAACAAATCCAATCACACGGATTCACATTCTGAAAAATTATTGGCTGAGCGATAGCGAAGCCTGTTACTCCAGTGCGGTTGAAAAGTTTTGTCTGTGTGTCTGTGTGTGTGTGTTGTGTGTGTACACTACTCCTCCTGAACGGCTCGGCCGATCTGGCTGAGAATTCGCAGGGTTATTAGGTACGTTCTTGGCTCGGCACACGCGAAATTTCACTATCCTTGCTCAAGTGGTTCAGTTTTTATAGCCGAAAAACACCTAAAAAACGGCGAAAAATCGAGTTTTCTGTCGGTAGACCTCTCCTGTCTGGAAGAAAGAGGGGTCTGGGGGGCGGAGCCCCCCAGCCACGACAAGTTAAAAAGTTACAAGGGTCAAGATCGTGTAATTTGTAGATGAAGCACCTCTATCTAGAATGAAGGGGGGTCTGGGGGCCCCCAGCATGCAACAGTTCTGAAGTAACTGGTGATGGACAAGCATTGTCTGCCGAAGGCAGCCTAGCGCCGCAGGCCAAGGTAGGTACGCCAGGCGCGGATTGGAGAAACAGGCTGCGACACATCGCGAAGCCTGTTACGACAAGACGCGGTCTGGCGTAAACCTACCTTGTAGGTTCTGTAATCATACAATTAGTTTACAGAACTGCAAATCACATTTTACTTTTAAGCGCAACTTACTCGCAGCGTCAGAGAACTGCCTAAAGGCATTATAAAAGTGTTGTGCAGATCATGTGTGAGTGATGAAGAGATCACCACATTGGCAGTTTCCTCATTTACAATATTGACCCATTATTAATTACAGACTTTATTTTACTGGATTATGTAACTGTTGAGGAACATTTGTGTCCTGGTGACTGATGAAAATGCAGAATGTGATATGAAAAGAAATGAATGTGTTACGTGCAGCATGCTTTTGGAGTATTGGGTAAAGCTAAACAATGAGGCAATATGTTTGGTCAATTGTGAATGAGATAAGGAAAATAGCTCACTACGCAATAAACATCACATAGAGTGTTAATTGCGGGGTGGGATATTCTCCTTGTCTCGGCTGAAATCAACATTCCAATGGGGTTCATTGTTGAGGTTTACCCTGTACCCTAGGGTGATGCTGTGCGTAATTGTGATATTTCTAATTATATCACCTTCTTCCTGGGAATCAAAGTCACTTAGAGCACTGTTGAATTCTTCCTCAGCATTACCATATCTGAGACTGATTAAGTCAATGAATAATTGCGAGTCAATGTTGTTGAGATAGGAGAAGGCTGCCAATGTGATGATGTCTTGGTCTGTCATGTTTTGCCTGCACAATGCTCTTATAATGAATTCAGGCAACTGTGTTATGCTGCAGGGTAGGTTGTGTTTAAAAGTAAACCAATACTCATCAAGGTCAAGTAGATCATCGGCGTGAACGTTTCTGCTCAACTTTCTAAACATTTTGCGCCCTGCCTCAAGTTCACTCATGTGTTTGTAAGGAAACGTATAGTTTTCCATTGCTGCCCAAGCCATTGCTGTGAGGAATAAAAGGTTAAACAGAGAAATTACTATTGGAAATTGATGGAAAATTGGTTTGGTGGTTGTTTACTGTATCGTTTGTTAGAGTTATGTGGTTCTGATAAACAGGTAGCTAATTAAAAAAGCTTTGTTGTTATTGGAGAGATTGATCATTGTTGCATGCTGTTGAATAAATCCAGAGATGATTTTAGATGATTTAAGGATTTATTTTTTGTGTTGAAAGTAGAAATAAATGGACCGGGGGGTCTGACTTACCACAGTGGGGTTTTGGGTACAGGCAACCGTTAGAAAAAAGCTGGGGCTCTGGGGATGGGGTGTGGTGGGTGCCGGGATTGATCTCTGGCTGGGGGTGGGGTGGACCTCTGGTTGAAGATCTGGACGATCTGGGAGGTTGAAGTGATTCCTAAGTGGCAGGCAGGAGACAGGACCATGAAATGTACGGTGTGAGTACGTCTAAGGATCCTCTCTGTGACAGATGCGCACGCTTGACTGGTGGCGTGAACTGAGCGATTTTCGCCCCATGTGAGAGTAGCACAAGGTAGCACAGCGAGGCTCCTGGCCGAGCGGCGTTCCCCCTCTACCTCCGCGCCGGGCGGTTTCACCGCCAGTTTGCTGTCGACCAATCAGAAGGCCGGATTCGCGCCCAGCGTGCGCATATCTTACAAAGAGGGTCCCTAAGTACGTCAGGTGCGCATCTAGGGGGGGTGGGAGGATCACGGGGGTCATTGAGCGGCACTGAAGGCGGTAGCGGTTCGAATGATTAGCGTCCGTACTTTCTGTGGGTTGCTACATCTTTTCGTGGTTGAGATCAGAAGTCAGTCTTAACAATAAGGGAAGCATAATTTCACTTTTAAACTGTGTCTCTAAGTGTATTCTCAAAGGACGCCGAAGTCGTGAGAAGGAACATAAAAAATTTGTAGCCCCGCCCGGAGTTAGGATGGTCTCGTAGTTCCCAAATTGAACGCACGCGATGGTCACTCAAAACAATACCCCGGATTAGCTCCAATTTCCTGGTAATCCGGCTGCTGTCAGCCGAAGTCGTTACCTTGTTGGTCACTGCGGGGGTAAGCGATTCGGCCGTTCAGCGGTCGGTTCTCTTGCTTGGTAGATCCTTTTGTAGACACAATAAAATTTCACTGGTCACCACCACCAGCTGCTGTACGCCGCACTACAATGTGTGTGGTAGCGCGCTGCGCCCTGTTGCTCGTTAAGTTTGTTACGTCCCGTAACAATGGAAGGGGTTGATGACGTTCCGTTTGAAGTGGGTGGCGGTTGGTGCAAGAACCGTAACCGTAAAACGATAGTATGGAAAATAGGGCGGGCAATTGGTATGGAAGTTTGAAATGCATATAGGTATCCTTCTGCGATCGGCACAGGTCTCAAAGTTTGTAAAGTACGACTAAATTTTATAATTTTGTTTCGGAAACTCCTGGAACGTTTTCAACCTTCGAATTCTGCTTAAAAAGTTGCGTTTTAGTGGTGGTAGACTAGCAAACAATTGAGCGGCGGCACCACGCGCGCAACCCCATCTAGCGGCTGTTGGCAGTACTATGTGGTATCAAAGCTGATGTCGGTTGTCGGTACGTCTTGACAATGATTTTGGTTCCTGGTGTTAAGTTCCTTCAGAATATTAATAATGCATATGTGCGTAGCATTGATATGTGGAAAAAGTGCTCAGGATATTCTTATACATGTACTTCTAAGCTCCTGGTTGTGTCGTCTATAGAGTCGCAGAAGCCCGTCGTCTGCTATCTTCTGCTGCTTTCTCTTATATTTGTTCACAAAAGATTTGTGCGGTCCCATTCCCAGATATTTTCTCTTATATTAATGCGCAGAAAAATGTGAAGCAAATATAGCTCACGTGGATAAGGTGTTTATGTGTTTGACGTCGTTTTGTTAGGGTGCTGTACAATAGTCCACCCGGTGGTCTTTTGTAATTTGACCTTGTCTTTAGGCGAAGTTTGTTATTGGCTTGTGAGTCAAAATGTTGTGGGACTGTTGTGATGCCAGTGTGAAGCTGTTTGTTTAATTATTTTTTTTTGTGTGTGTGTAGGCAGGTTCACTACGATGTGTCATTCATGCAGACCACCAGCGTTGCGGTGAATTCGAGTGTCCGTTGCATTACCTGCAGGAGCTAGAGTACTGGAGAGGACTTGTGGAGATAACTGTTTATGCGTCTGACAAGGTATGTTTATAGTCTTGGTTTACATTAATTTGCATCTAAAACAGAGCTCAGTCACTGGTGGTTGAATCATTTTCTTGCAAAGATTTTGTATTTTCATTCTGGTTAAATCGTCTGTTGTCTCGGAGATTTTAACTTTTTAATTGCGGCTTGTGGGTTTTAGAACCTATGCTGGTTTCTCTTATATTTGTGCACAAAAGATTTGTGCGGTCCCATTCCCAGATATTTTTTTTATATTAATGCGCAAAAAAATGTGAATTTGACCTAACCTATGTCTTTAGGTGAAGTTTGTTATTGGCTTGTGAGTCAAAATGTTGTGGGGCTGTTGTTATGCCAGTGTGAAGCTGTTTGTTTAATTATTTTTTTTTTGCGTGTGGGCAGGTTCACCACGATGTGTCATTCATCCAGACCACCAGTGTTGCAGTGAATTCGAGTGTTCGTTGCATTACCTGCAGGAGCTGGAGTACTGGAGAGGACTCCTGGAGAAAACGTCCACTTTCCTACACCTTGCAGGGACTGATGGGGCTGGTCCGGGTGTAGTGGACCAGCAAATCATGTGGGACAACATAGCAATACATGAACAATTTAACTAAGCTCACTTAAAAATTAATATTAAGGAATGAGGAACAAAAAATGTACTCATGGGATTAAAATTTAAGAAAAGAACAGAAAATTTAAGGAGTAGGGAATTACCTTGTGTGTATTTGTGATTTATATTTGCTCAGATTTTTGAAGGTGGTAAGAATTGGTGAAAATTTGCTTCCTATTCATGTTTCATTTGGGAACAGGCAATGAGAAAATGATGGATTCTTTCGTCAGATTTTGGATGTGCTCTTTTAAATGCGTATTCAGCTAGGTACCCTGTTATGTATTCTTTTTTTCTTCCAAACCTGTGCACAAAATGTCAATTTTTTGTAAATTTTGACGATGTTTCCAGGTTATGGTACAAGCACTATTGGAAAATAAACCTTTTTACCTGGGGACATGTGTCCTGGCATCTCTCCAGAGGCGCTCTATGTTTTGGGTATGTGCTTTTGTTGTAGGGTTGACGAAATTTATGCGATGATTCACCACCAAGTGTTTGAAACCTTTTTCATTAAGCCTTGCATATGCCTTCCAGCCATCAGACATGATTGTGGTGCCAGGAAGAATACAGCGCAGAATGATGGTTACTAAGGTGTCAGCATCTCTTTGTGCAACGGGCTGGAGGAAGAATTTGGAAGAAGAGAGGCCCCGCTCTACTCCACCAAATACCCACTGCACTTCCAATGTGCGCCCTAGGCGGTCTTTTTGCTTCCCAAATACTGCCTCGTCAATCTCCACAATCTTCCCGACACCTCCAATCGGTTTGAACTGATTCACATTCCAAAATGAACATACTTTTCGGCAAAGGGCACTAAATGTCACTGTTGTTTGACTGCTAATTTTGATTTCAGACATAAGAATGGCCTGACGTGGAGGTTTCAATATAATCCAAAATGCCACAAAGGAAAGAATTTGTTGAGGTGTTAAGTGGCTCCTGGCCAGCCATGTGCCACTTCTGTTGGATTGCTTGAAGTGGCATCTTGGTGTCCCTTTGTGACGCCTCTGGCATCTCCACATGTTTCCACAGTGGTCGAGGGTGCATGGTTGTCCACATGTTGTGCATGAAACTCTCACCTACATAAAGGTAGATTTCAATTTGTTTAAAAAAATTAGACGACATGATAAGGAGCTGTACGCTTCTTACCGGTGCAAGGCTGTGTTTCTGTAGGAAGATATTTAACTCATTTTCATTTTTTATCAGTTCCTGGATTGTTGGCTGAGCGATAGCGAAGCCTGTTACTCCAGTGCGGTTGAAAAGTTTTGTCTGTCTGTGCGTCTGTCTGTCTGTGTGTCTGTGTGTGTACACTACTCCTCCTGAACGGCTCGGCCGATGTGGCTGAGATTTTTCAGGCTTATTAGGTATATTCTTGGCTCGGCACACGCGAAATTTCACTATCCTAGCTCAACTAGTTCAGTTTTTATAGCCGAAAAACACCTAAAATCGGCGAAAAATCGAGTTTTCTGCAGGTAGATCACCTCTGTCTTGAAGAAAGGGGGGTCTGGGGGACGGCGCCCCCCAGCCACGACAAGTTAAAGAGTTACAAGGGTCAAGATCGTGTTATCTGTAGATGAAGCAACTCTTTCTAGAATAAAGGGGGGTCTGGGGGGCGGAGCCCCTCAGCATGCAACACGTAAGAAGTAACCGACGATGGACAAGCCAATGCCTGCCAAAGGCAGGCTAGCGCCGCAGGCCAAGGTAGGTACGCCAGGCGCGGATTGGAGGAACACCCCAGACCAACTTTTCGTAGGCAACATCGGGCAGGCATTGGTCAAGTACCGAGCAACTATGCGCAACCAATGGGTAACTACCGGGCAACTTCGGGCAACTGCCGGGCAACTACGAGCAACTGCCGAGCAACTCGGGGCAACTGCCGGGCAACCACCGGGCAACTCCGAGCAACTTCGAGCAACTGCCGGGCAACCACGGGCAACGACCGGGCAACTGCCGGGCAACTGTTTGCCCGTGCACAGCTCGCGGGCAACTAAAAATGTGGGGAAATAATCAGTTTCAGCGGCACCGCGGCGTGCGCCAAGTGCTGATTATGCACTGTTTTGGGAGCTTGTGACTGCTTGTGACCTGCAGAGCGGTAGCGCAGTGTCTCGAACCTGTGCGACATTCTGTGGGAGGTGCGAGAGAGACAGAGTGTCGAAAAAGCTGTGCATAATCATGCCGACGTGCGTGCGGAGACGCAGCGCGCGTAGTAATACGGTTCTCTTTACGCTGTACACGCTGCATTACCCGGCCCCGGCCGCCCCAGCCGCCTGCCACCACTGGCATAGGCAACCATACCAACAGCGGTCCCAATTTGTTGCCTACCCTTGGCCCGTCAGGCGCCTCCACAGCGCGGACTGGTTAGTCGGTGCGGTCGGAGCAGGTGGGGCAGGTGGGCAGAGGAGAGGAGGCAGCAATATTTTTCTCTCCCTCTCCCCCTCCCCTGCCAAATGTAAATATCAACAGCACAGCAAAATCTGGGTTTCAACGTCGTATACTGAAAGTCGTGTTGGTACGTGTTTACATCTTCATGGCACGCATTCGCTTCGAGCATTCCTAGTTACTTTTGCCTTGACATGGCATTAGTCTTGCAGCTGTTGCTGGTTTCGAACTTTATCTTAACCTCAAATACCATTTGAAGCACTTTGAATAACCACGTTCGTTCGAGCTTTTCTACTGCACACGCTTTACTTTCCGCATTATTGGCTTTCCGTTTGTCCAAGTGACACACAAGATTGCTGCGTAGGGATGTCACTGATTTGATAAATATTTGATGAGGCTAATGTTCTATGATGTAATTGGTTTTGCAGGTAACTTCATGCTTGGCTGATTTGGAGACCACCTTCTTACCACCTCCAGCCTGACTCTGGACAGCAACCTTGAGGGCCCTACATCTAAGCCATTCGGATGAGGCAATAACACCGCTACGATCACATCACATTTTTGTTGCCACTCATGGTGAGTCTGCGCTATGCGTGAAGTCCTTTTTCTTTTAAATTGTTTTTTTTTCCCGTCCACTCATTTTATTTCTTTCATTTCATCCCTTTTGTGTTCCAAACATGTTTACACCAATTTTAAAAACTGTCTACCCATTTCCCTTTACAGAAGCCGCTTGCTTGGACCTGAAAACCATGTTTAGAAATGCGAAAGATCGACTCCAAGGATGGAGTGGGCAGCGATGTTGAATGTTATAATATTCCCTTAGTCTTTGTAAAATAATCAAGAACCTATAAAGCCCCAATCCGACTGACTCACTGACTCACTCACTGACTCACTCACTCAAAGAAATGTTTGGGGTGAAGGAGTGGTCGTAGAGACTTGCGGTTTTTTCCATTCGATTCCAAATTTTATGGGAGAATTGGGAAAAATCCCAAAAGTTGAAAATTCCTCACCGTTTCCGAGAAAACCTACTTTATCTACAAAAAAGGGGAACAAATTTCTCACCGTTTCCGAGCAAACCTACTCCATCTTCAAAAAAGGGGACCGACCGACTAAAAATTTTTATTCGCCCCATCGGTAGGTCTGGTCGAGACATTTCCGAAACTGTGCCGCAATCGAGTCCTCGTCACCGGCAACATCCTCAAAAACGATAAAATAGGCCTAAATTTAACAAAATCCACTCAATCTTCAAAAAAGGGGACCGACCGACTAAAAATTTTTATTCGCTCCATCGGTAGGTCTGGTCGAGACATTTCCGAAACTGTGCCGCAATCGGGTCTCCGTCACTGGCAACATCCTCAAAAAACAATTCAATGGGCCTAAATTCAACAAAACCCACTCAATCTTCAAAAAAGGGGACCGACCGACTAAAAAATTTTATTTGCCCCATCGGTAGGTCTGGTCGAGACATTTCCGAAACTGTGCCGCAATCGGGTCTCCGTCACTGGCAACATCCTCAAAAAACGATTAAATAGGCCTAAATTCAACAAAATCCACTCAATCTTCAAAAAAAGGGACCGACCGATTAAAAAATTTTATTCGCCCCATCGGTAGGTCTGGTCGTGACATTTCCGAAACTGTGCCGCAATCGGGTTCCCGTCACCGGCAACATCCTCAAAACGATGAAATAGGCCTATATTGAACAAAATACAACCGTTTCCGAGCAGTTAAAGCCATGTAATATATTGCGTCTTAAACCTGGCCGGAGAAATCTGTAGAAATCAGAAATGAAAGACGCAAAAGAGGCCCATTAGTTTGGCCTTCGGTCACATTGACCATAATGAACACAGATCTTATTCTTTTCAAAGCTGTCTTCAATATTTTCCGGACCTTGAATGCCGTTGACTGCCACAGTAGCCAATACAATACAAGCTATCTATTTGGGCAGTAATAGTACCTTAAAAATTAATGGTCAAAAGCAGTTAAATAGACCTTCCCAAAAAGCAGTACAGTTACTCCATTAGAAAATTTTCCTTTGGTCACCACGGACTTACTAATAATACTTCGGTACGCGCCCCACACATGCGGGGGTCTGGGGGCGGAGCTCCCAGCGAGCAGCGCGAGTCAAATGATAAATGTGTTATCAGCTGGAGAGTAATATGCTATTCATCTTACTGTATTTTTCATCAGCTAGAGATTTATATGCTATTCATCTTACTGTACTTTTTAAGCAGTGTGACCACATTGTATTATTTGCTTCAATTGACATCGTGCTGCACAGCCGAGTTTAATTAATTCCCAGATTTGAGTGAGCGCTCTATTTGTAGGATACCTGCAATGCCACTGAATGAATTACAATTTATCTTATGTTCAACTTTATTTCTCGCATTCTCTTTCAAGCCAAAAGAACTCAGAGGGCCAACCTCAGGTCGTGTATTATTAAATGATGGATTTCAGGACACCGAATTTAAGAACAAAAACAGCAGTTGATTCATGGAGTATATATTTTTGATTTCACAGCAATGGTTAATTAAGTTTGCCTACCATCACTCTAATTTTATCTCTTTAAGGGGAGGTTCTGGTGAAAATGCTATTTTCTCCTAAATAGGTCCCACTGTGAAAATTTGTTAAAATTTTGATGTCTTATCAAGTATTTATTAAAAATTTTTATTGGGTAGGCACATTCTATGCCCTGAATCCAGTCGCAGAGCCTTTTTCTCCCATTTAGGCTATAACTTTAAAAATCTTCTTGCGCATACTATTTTGTCGTAAAAGGTTGGCTTAGACATTTTTCACTTCTTCGATTCATTTTTTAAAAATGCCGGCATGCCCATCTCAAAATGTCGATTGCATTTTTATTCGCAAGCTTTCTAACCAAGCATTTCACTAAAATTGGTCAAAAATGTACAAAATAGTCAAATTTTAGGGACTTTTCAGCTTAAAAAGCCAATAATTAATAATATAATGGAAGTTTTGAGCTATGCATGCCGGAATCTTTTGAAAATGAGTCGAAGAAGTGAAAAATGTCAAGGTCAACCTTTTACGACAAAATAGTATGCGCAAGGAGATTTTTTAAGATACAGCCAAAATAGGCTCAAAAAGACTCTTCGACTGGGTTTACAGCCTGGCATGTGCCTTCAAAAGTCAAATTTTAGTCTCCCCAATGAAAAATTTTATATTCCGAACAAATTATGACTGTGGGATCCATTTGGAAAATGGCAAGATTTTCACCAGAACCTCCCCTTAATAAGTATGATCAGAAAAATTCTAAGCTCCCTCTTCAACTTCAGAGTCACTGCCATCTTCGGACTCTTCCTCTTCCTCTCTCTTCATCTTATTGTACTCTCTCTGTAGGTAGTCATACATAAAATAGGTGAATATATATACATGAATGAAAACATGCCAAAAATGTTAGTTAACTAACTGGTATTGCATACCTTTGCCACTTGTTCTTTTCTGGTTTTCTCATTTGTTCTATCCCTCTTTACATTCCGTAGGTGATCACTTAAATATGTTGTCATAACAGATTCTACAATCCTGTGTTCTTCAGGGAGCTTGAAGTTAAGGTAACCTTGATAATTGGAGTGAAATTGTTAGCTTTGTCTTGAAAATTATAAGTATCAATGAAATGGTAACTTTACTTACATCTTATTGCCAAAGGAATGTCTTTTGGTATCTGTGAATACTGGATATGTTTTAGAATATCAATAGGGATAAGCTTATCCAAAAGATAGGTGGCTAATCCTCGGGGGTACAGTTTGCTTCTATCAGTACGTGTTTTCTTTCCCTTTTCTTCGGGGGTTTTTAATGCTACTCCTGGAATGCTGCAGATGTCTTTCTTTGGTAGATACACTGGTATAGTTTGAACTAATGGGAACTGAAACAAAAGAGGAAGTAAGTATCTCATGATATTATAACTTTTAAATACCTCAAACTCAAATGTTTTTTGTACCATCAATTCGCCTTGCTGTAGGCACTTCAAATCAGTTAATACCAGGGGAGTTGGTTTAGGTGCTGGTTGTTTGAATGGTTTCTTTCTTTCAGACTCCTAGGCAATCAATTAAATTAATAAAAAAGAATAATTATTCAAATACTACTTAACACATCATAACAGAGCTTACCGCACATCCATTGTGTACTAATAATGCTTGATACAAATTATCCAAGAAAGTCAAATTTTCTGGAGTTGCTGAAAATAAATTGTATATGAATCTCACTATCTGAATCAGACTTTGCAATAGAGTTTCAAGTAATAAATGAAATACCTTGTTGCATAACTTTCAGAAATGGGCAATGCTCATCACTTAAACATTGCATATGTTCGACACTCGATAAAACCTTAAAACAAGTCTGTTTTGAAGTTCCAGGAATGGAGGAGGGATTCGGTCTAGGTACTGAGGTCGCTGAAGTGAATAAGGGGTTAAAATGACTATCCTTTGTAATTCCAAAAGTGGATGATGGTCCAGGCATTGAGGTTGCCGGAGGAAATGAGAAGGTGAAAGGAGCTTTCTTTGGAATTTCAAAAGTGGATGAAGATCCAGGCATTGAGGTTGCCGGAGAGAAGCTGAGAGGAGCTTGAAAGGAGGAAGTTTGAGGAATGGATGAAGGATTTGGTCCAGCAGGCACTGAGGAAGCTGGAGTGTCATTTGAAAGTGACACTTTAGGGCTGCCCATTGTTGAAAAAGGCAGATTTGGAGATCCAGGTGCATTTTGCTTAGGGCTACTAAAATTTGAGACTGGCTGACCACTCACAGTTGCTTGGGTTGTCTGGTAACACAAAAAACATTAATTCAAAATTACATTTTTTAAATAAGCATCTAAGGTTTTCCTGGAACATATATAGAAGTCACTTACATTAGGAGAAGATAAGTCACCACCCGGAGAGATTCGCATTAAAACTGGAGAGGAAACCTTCGGTGTGAGGGGCAGGGCCTGTTATTAGGAGAACATTTTGGGAAAGCAATTAATTAAAGTAATCGGTGACTTTATATCAACAAGACATTGACATTGAGTGCATGATTCTTACAGTTGAAAGATTGAGTAAACTATTGTCAATGTCGGTCAGCACCTTCCGCTTCGAAGCTGTTTCTGCTGCTTTTACAGATCTCTTACGTAATGCAAGAGCATTTTCTTTGTTCTCATCAATATCTTCCAATACCTTTCCAGTTATGTCAACTACCAAATTTTGCAAATAATCAGTGTCATCTAAGCAAGAAAAAAAAACAAATCAGTTAGAAACTGCCAGTTAAGTAGAGGCAAGTAAAGACACAAAGGCTGGAGGTGGAGGGGAAGGGAGGGGAGGGGAGGAGGAGGGTGGGTGGGTGGAAGAACTAGTCTCTTACGAACCGATGCAGAATACTCACATCCCAATTCAACAATTTTCGCATCGTGTAGAGGCCCCTTTTGCAGCATATCCAGCTCAATAGGAAGAGGCGAGTGGCACAAAGCTCCTTTAATGAAGCCCTTTTCTACATTCTTCAGAACCACACTAAATCTTGTTACAACTCCAGTAGTTTTGTCAGACAAGTACAATACTAAGACAAAGTCAGGCAGTTCCTCTTCACGCTTGGGCTTCTTCTTCGGAGGGTTAACAGCAGATCTGCTCCTTCTTGATCCTGCCATCTTACAATGATTTTCCAGAACAGCTACCGTTTAAGTTGGAATCAGATGAAATTTTTGTAATAACCGATATCCGCGGGCTACAATCGCGATTTGCTTTTGTCAACTTTTGTGCCAACATCTGAACACTAAAAATGACATGCTCGTCCACATCTTAGCGGGCGAACTTCTCTGAAGCGTACTTTAATTTATTCAATAATGAATCAAAATTATTTTTTTAAACCGTCATTTGATTGTTTTTTTTTTCTTTTTTATAAAACTACATTGTCCCTCACACGTTGGATGAAGTTGGCGGCACAAAGCTAAAACAAGAAACAAGACGACAACAAACAAAACAATTTGAATCCCGCACCTGCCGAACAATTCTAGCACAGTATATAATCTTAGAAGAATTGAAGTAGTTATTCGTGCCAGTTGTGGCTGATCACTTAGAAATAATGAGCGATCCTCATCCTAAACGAGCGAGGTTTGTTCCCATGCAGCAAGTTTTTTTCAGTCGACTTTGTTTCTCAAAGTCTTCAACTTGTTTTGGACCTAACCTTTCTAAATTCTTCTTTTCTTTTTGTTTTAGAATCGAGGGATCTCAGAACTTGAGTGGAGAATGTTCTCAAAACAATGCAGGAGATGCAGGTTAGTGAGATGGTTAAATTTATTTCTCTAAATTTACTTCTGGAAGGCAATTATATTTCTTAAATTTCCTTACAGTGTTGACATCAGGTCTAGAGCCAGCGCCAGTTCCAGTTTCACTGCCAGTGCCCCTACTTCATGCAGTGCCAGTGCCCATCCCTATCTCGACCCCACTACAAGATGAGCTTCAAGAGCCTGTTCCCTCTTTCACCAATGAACCTGCATTACCTCAGTCTGCGCCTCCGGAAGTCTTGAAACCAGAGCCCTCGTCTCTCCAGCTTTCAACTTGTCCGCTTCCTGAACAAGAAATAACACCTGCAGAAGATTTATTTGTGCCACCTTTACTTCTTGAAGCACCTTCTGTTGAACATCAACCAAATCCTGCTGTGATTCATCATGCATCAGCTGATGCACCACAGATGGAGATTGAGCCAGAACCTGACCCTACAGTGTTTGATTTGAAACATCTATTAGATCAAATACTCCTCAGTGATGACAGCAAGGAGTTGGATATTGACTTTGAACCATCTGGAGTGCCCTTAGTAGATGTAACTGAGGGTAACTCTACTCTGTACCCTGGTGCACCAATTACTCTACATCAGTCATTAGTAGCTATTCTGACATTATTACTTTCTTTTAAATTGTCAGGGGTTTGTTTATCTGCTATCCTTTCTTTGATTTCTCTTCACTTGCCAAAAGATAATATTTTTAAGTCATCTCTGTTCTCATTTAAAAATTATTTTGCACATCTTCAGAGTGAAAAACAATATATGTATTTTTGTTCAACTTGTTTTGCTAAGTGTGAAAGAGCTGGTTGTTCACAGCATGTTGGTGCAAAGTTGTGCACCTTGATTTGCATTCCTTTGATAGAACAGCTGCAAACCTTATTTCGAAGGGAAGGATTTTATGCCAAGTTGAAATTTGTAAATGATAACCACTCTCCTGGAAAGTTTGCTGACGTGTGTGATGGTAATGTGTATCGTATTGAAGTCGAGGCAGGACGCCTTGGTAAGGAGGGACAGGTCTCTTTCAGTTTGTATACTGATGGCATCGCTGTTTATGAATCGTCACAAATTAGTGTCTGGCCATGCTACCTGAACATCAACGAACTGCCTTATGAAGAACGGTACAAGAAAGAAAATGTGCTGATACCTATGCTTTGGTGTGGCCCTGTAAAACCTCCAACCAACATTTTAGTGTCTGAACTGTATCCTGATCTGAAAAAGCTTGCTGAAGGAGTACTATTTGAAGTTCCAAATGAAGATAAGAAGATGATAACAGGTTTTGTCCTCTGCAGCACTGGGGACACTCCTGCCAGGAGTATGTTGATGAATATTTCTCAATTTAATGGGGCAAGCTCCTGCCAGAGATGTGAGCAGCCTGGACAGGCTCGTGCTGACAACCCAGGTGTTCGCATATTTCCCTACAAACCTGCTGAGATGCTGCCAAGAACAGTGGACAGAATAGTTGAGTTCGGGAAAATGGCTAAACCTCAGAAGCCCTACAAAGGAGTGAAGGTAGGATTCCCACCTCTAAAATGTATTATGCCAGATTTTGTTCGTGGTGTTGCGATCGATGCTATGCACCAGGCATATGGAGGCGTGGGAAAAAAGGTAACCGAACTCTTGACTACTACCTCTGGTTTAAAAAAATACTCCATTAAGAGTAAGGTGGAACACATCAATGAGATGCTACTGCAAATACGTTCACCAGCCCACATTTCAAGAGCACCTCGCTCTCTCATTGACTCAGGCTATTGGAAAATGGTTGAACACAAATTGTTTCTTCTCCAATACTCTTTGCCTGTGTTGAAGAAATTTGTCTCCAAGAGTTATTTAAGACATCATGGAACTTTGGTTGCTGGACTTCAACTACTGAGTTCTGATGTTGTCACCAATGAAGCATCGGACTTAGCTGGATCTTTGCTGCACAAATATGTCTCTCAGTTCCCTGATTTCTTTGATATGAAGTTCATGACAATGAATTTTCATCTACTTTTACATCTGCATGAAGTAGTAAAAGATCTAGGGCCATTGTGGGTACATATGTGCTTTACCCTGGAGGGAATCAACGGGGAAATCTTGAGTCTTGTCCATGGTACACGATGGCCTGACACACAAGTTGGAAACTCCGTGCAGATCGTCTTGGGACACTCTGAAATCATCCGAAAATTGGAAGATTCAGCGAGCAAATCCTTTTGTACCAAGATTATAAACCGCAACAAATTAGTTATCTCTGGTAAAGTGGGTAAAATTAAGATTATTGGCCCAAGTGCTCGAGTAAATGAGTTGCCTCTGGACTTACAATGTATCAGTCTTGACACGAAAGTCACAGAATTAGGCTGTATACAGATTGGAAGAATCATTTATGTATCTCTTGCCAAGCACAACTCCAACTCACGCAGGGATTCCACTGCTGTAGCATTCCAACAGGAAAACAAAGAAGAATTTGGTCTCATCAAAAATATTTACCGAAAGTTCATCTGTTCTTGCCCTCAAGAGTGTCTCTGTGATAGTACCATTTTTGTTTCAGTGCAGAAGTATGAAGTTTGTGGGTTCTTTGAAACATTAATTCAAGGTGTTAATGTGCCTAATAGTGCACAATTTAAACCTACAAATGAAAATGTTGTAATTAAAGCACAGTGTCTTATAAATGTTTGTACAAAGATCCAAGATGGTGATGACTTGTTCCTATCAAAGCCCTGCAACACCAGGGAGGTAGAATAAAGAGAACTGACTGTTCCAGACCGCCTCACTTTCTTCAATTTGTGTGATGGTAGGCAAACTTAATTAACCGTTGCTGTGAAATCAAAAATATATACTCCATGAATCAACTGTTGTTTTTGTTCTTAAATTCCGTGTCCTGAAATCCATCATTTAATAATACACGACCTGAGTTTGGCCCTCTGAGTTCTTTTGGCTTGAAAGAGAATGCGAGAAATAAAGTTGAACATAAGATAAATTGTAATTCATTCAGTGGCATTGCAGGTATCCTACAAATAGAGCGCTCACTCAAATCTGGGAATTAATTAAACTCGGCTGTGCAGCACGATGTCAATTGAAGCAAATAATACAATGTGGTCACACTGCTTAAAAAGTACAGTAAGATGAATAGCATATTAATCTCTAGCTGATGAAAAATACAGTAAGATGAATAGCATATTACTCTCCAGCTGATAACACATTTATCATTTGATTATTTTACAAAGACTAAGGGAATATTATAAAATTCAACATCGCTGCCCGCTCCATCCTTGGAGTCGATCTTTCGCATTTCTAAACATGGTTTTCAGGTCCAAGCAAGCGGCTTCTGTAAAGGGAAATGGGTAGACAGTTTTTAAAATTGGTGTAAACATGTTTGGAACACAAAAGGGATGAAATGAAAGAAATAAAATAAGTGGAGGGGAAAAAAAAAACAATTTAAAAGAAAAAGGACTTCACGCATAGCGCAGACTCACCATGAGTGGCAACAAAAATGTGATGTGATCGTAGCAGTGTTATTGCCTCATCCGAATGGCTTAGATGTAGGGCCCTCAAGGTTGCTGTCCAGAGTCAGGCTGGAGGTGGTAAGAAGGTGGTCTCCAAATCAGCCAAGCATGAAGTTACCTGCAAAACCAATTACATCATAGAACATTAGCCTCATCAAATATTTATCAAATCAGTGACATCCCTACGCAGCAATCTTGTGTGTCACTTGGACAAACGGAAAGCCAATAATGCGGAAAGTAAAGCGTGTGCAGTAGAAAAGCTCGAACGAACGTGGTTATTCAAAGTGCTTCAAATGGTATTTGAGGTTAAGATAAAGTTCGAAACCAGCAACAGCTGCAAGACTAATGCCATGTCAGTATACGACGTTGAAACCCAGATTTTGCTGTGCTGTTGATATTTACATTTGGCAGGGGAGGGGAAGGGGGGGAAAGGGAGAGAAAAATCTTGCTGCCTCCTCTCCTCTGCCCACCTGCTCCGACCGCACCGACTAACCAGTCCGCGCTGTGGAGGCGCCTGACGGGCCAAGGGTAGGCAACAAATTGGGACCGCTGTTGGTATGGTTGCCTATGCCAGTGGTGGCAGGCGGCTGGGGCGGCCGGGGCCGGGTAATGCAGCGTGTACAGAGTAAAGAGAACCGTATTACTACGCGCGCTGCGTCTCCGCACGCACGCCGGCATGATTATGCACAGCTTTTTCGACACTCTGTCTCTCTCGCACCTCCCACAGAATGTCGCACAGGTTCGAGACACTGCGCTACCGCTCTGCAGGTCACAAGCAGTCACAAGCTCCCAAAACAGTGCATAATCAGCACTTGGCGCACGCCGCGGTGCCGCTGAAACTGATTATTTCCCCACATTTTTAGTTGCCCGCGAGCTGTGCACGGGCAAACAGTTGCCCGGCAGTTGCCCGGCAGTTGCCCGGTCGTTGCCCGTGGTTACCCGGCAGTTGCTCGAAGTTGCTCGGAGTTGCCCGGTGGTTGCCCGGCAGTTGCCCCGAGTTGCTCGGCAGTTGCTCGTAGTTGCCCGGCAGTTG